GATCAGATGACACTGGTAGGCTAATTTTACATGACTATGTACACACTTTCTGTTAGCAACTGGATATCCTGCTGCACTGACAATGATTCTAACGATTCAAGAAAAAGTCCTTGTTTCTTAGTATACTGTATGTCAAACATTGGAAACTGAGGCTTTTTTATGAAAAGAAAAAATACTTTGTTGATCTAAGTGATCACATTGTTCCTCAGCCATCAATTCCCTTTTAGGTTCAATTCTCATTGGTAAACTTGGTTTTTGTTATGTTTTTTTAAAGGTTCCCTTCTCAATGTCATGCAACACTAACAACTTTCTGATTTTCTCCTAATAAAATATGGCTGTTTGGAGCTCTTGCTGACAAGCTGGCAATCAGCTTTTGTAGCAGGTAACAGCATCAAACTCTGTGAACACCTACATTCTTCAAAGTAACACGGCACCACACACCCGTGATCGCTTTTCAGCTAAAAATACGACAGACTCATCGTGAAATCTTGTTTGCAAATTTTCGAGATGTGATAAAGACACATTAAAGCTTTAAACCCTTTCAATGATGTTTATTTCCAATCTGCAGTAGCAACACGAGGAAACAAACTCAATGATTAATTATTTTGTAAGTCAGAGCATTATGAACTGATTTGAGGCTTACAGCGAGCACAGCACAGCTCTCTTTGAGAATTTATTCAAACCAGGGATGGTTTGTAATTTGACTTTATTTTCCTGGAGTTGGTAGTGCAATTACTTTTTTATTTTCATCTTGGTTTTGTTGGGATAAAATCCCAGCTAAATGTTGGGATGCCTTTCAGCTAGGATCAATTCACTGAGTGCTGATCTGTGAGGTTACTAACATGACTACATATGAAACAGGCAAGGGTCACTATTATTTACTACAGTATGTTTATTCTTTTTTCATCTATGAGCGCTGGAGGCATAGTTGGCACACACCATGAAGGTTTGGCAGACAGCTGTTGTGTACAAGGCCAAATGTACTGTATTTTAACACCAGTATGTTTTCAGAATAACTAGAATCACTCTTCTGAGGGATCTCAGCAAAAATGTCTTTTTAAAAGACCATTACATTCAACCATCCCATCTGGACAAGATGACTCGTATATTCACCCACAAGCAACTTAATTTAAAAGGAGGCATGACTCTTATTTTATGAAGCTTCAAATAGGGCTACGTGATATTTAAACCATTACCATAAGACTTTGCAGTAAACAAATCAGGTTTAACTGTTGTACCAAATATCATCACTGGTAATCATTGGTAAGTAATGTTTTTTTATCCATAATGACAGTTATGTTCACACCAACTCATGCGGTTTTATAAAGAAAAAAACTGCCGTCCCATTACACTGTTGTAAGCTGTATGCAACAAAATTTTGTTCTGTATGCACTCTGTACATACAAAATGAGAATAAAGGTGTCTAAGCATAAGTAAAGCACAAAAAATGGCTCTTGTATAACATTCTTTTTAATTAGCAGAAACAATGCAAACCTCTGACATTTTATTTGGACTTTTGTATTCCCTGGGACTAATGAGCTCTTGGCTTGTTTTGCTGGGTTTTTTTGTGGAGTATATTTGTATTTCCTGCTTACCAGCTGATATACTTGCATCACCTTGATTACAAGTATCATAATGGGTTAAGGGGGCTTAATTTGTTTTGTTAAGCTCTAAGACACATCCCGCTGGTAAGAAATTTCACCAGCTTATTTATTTATTCATTTATTTTTACAGCTTGCTAATTCATGGTCATATTTATGTTCATATTCATTGCTACTGATGTTATTTTTTGACTAAGTATAAACAACCTGTCTCGTTTGTATCTTCGTGACCTGTATCTTCCAAAGCAGGTACACATATGCGTGTATGTAGATACTGTATATGTACTTGTTTGTAAAGATATATCTTGATATGATAAAGATATATCATATATCTTATACATGTATTCATTACATATAGATATATCTCTTAAAGTAATTTTCAGTTGTTGTCCCTAAATGACACTGTATCACCAATTGTGATTCCACAAGTTTAAAACAATTCTAATTTTGAAAGCATTGCATGTGTAAAAGTGAAAGATTCTTATCAAACTTCAAATTATGTAAAAAAGTTTGAAAGGCACAATCATGAAGAGGTTATCGGTCTCATACATGTAGTTAGAGTGCATGTCTTCCCAAACACGTAAATTTTTCATCTAAATCACATCTTAAAAGCAATACAGAATGGCTTGGATGGTATTAATGAGGATATAATGCAAGAAAATAACTACCAAATACCTGAAAATGAACTGGAACTAACAAGCACCACTGTTTTCAACAGTAGTATGGCTTCAACTGTATTTTTTGCATCAACTTGTCTGATTCTCCAATAAATTTGTAACTTAAAATCAACAACTAGGGAGATCCAAGAAGCAACTGTCTAGCAAACTAAATCCAGCATCTAGCAACTAACGAGACACTTCCTTCCATCAGAAACTTGAAGACACAGAGCCAAACCCTTTCTCCTGGCACTGATTAATCCCTACAGACTCATTTCTGTCAACCAATATTATAATTTTGATTTTCTTCTTTGAAAAAAAAAAAACCTTTTATATTTCTAAATGGTTTGGATGTGACTCTGAACCTTTTCCTCATTTGTGCACATGAATATGCAAATTGGATCCTGCCCTATCTCCGCAACACACCTTTAACTCTGCTCCCGAACGTAAAACCACCCTGCACTAACAGCGGTGTTAAAGCAGAAAAAGAACATGAGGAACAAATGTTACAAGGCTCCAAACAACATGATGTATCAAATTGATAACGCATTTTTTGTAACTTTCTCCACATTTCAGTAACACAATAGTATGAGATTACAAGACTGTGCTATAAGTGCTAATAGCACGTTGGTAATATTAGATAAAACTTGCTATGATCACATACTTTGACTCCCCCTCTGTGACATTTGACACCCTGCGCATCCAATTCAGACTATCTCTGGAAAAGCTCAATGTGGTGGTAATTCTTTTTTTTTTTTTGCACCTTCTTTGAGAAAATCTACTAAAATGAAAAAATATATATATATATTAATTGATACAATAGGGTGTGTGCGTCTTTATACTGATTATTTGCTTGCGATCCTAAATATTTCTCTGCAAACGTGAGGGATTAAGCTAATAAAATCTTTATTCATTGTTTGTCAGGTGACTTTTCATTCCCATGGTTGACAAATTGCTTCCCCATTCTAAAACAACTATTCCCATCATTGTGTATTCATGTAAATCTTTGGCATTGGGTTTGACAGATTATATTATGTGATCATTGTCATGGCTTTGTGTGGGTCTCTTAGTCAGGCTGAGCTATTCTGTACTTTCAAAATGACTTCAAGTCTCAATTTTTCTGTTAGGGAGGAAGTATTATGTGACCAGTTTTTCCAGGTTTAGAGAATTATTACAATTTATACAATTTATTTTATTTCCATCAATTTGAGTTCCTGATTGACTCACCAAAACTTTGAAACTCAAAGTTGTAGTTGTTTTGTCCAGCCCCCAAGAAAAGAAAGATTTTGTTTTGTCAATTGGTGATGTTGAATATAAAATGTTTATTCTGATCGAAGAAGTTTCAATGATAGTATTTAAGAACAACATTTTGAAATCCATGGTTCCAAATCCAAAATCAATCCATAGTTTTGGACTTTATTGGAGTGAAAAAGTAGAGGTAACAAACATGTTGCAAACACAGAAAATGTGTGGAAAGATGTTATGAAACTATATACCACCAACAAAGCTAAATTAAAAAAAAGTTAATTCTACCTTTTCTATAATTCCACTAACAACCAAGAACAAAACCAGAACAGTATGAACACCTAGAGGGATCTACTGAGCAAAACTTTTCTTTGGGGTTGAAACACAGTTACAGAGTAAAATCATCACTGTGAGGGTTTACAAGGGGGACTTTACTCTCAAAAGTGAATGTTTGCAAAAGATGTCGAGTGAAAAGGAAAACGCTGCACTTGCAGAAAGTATTTGGCCTCAGCAGATTGTGGATGACCACATAATCTGTGCTGAGCTCATAATCATGATCTGTTTCATAGTACTTACAGTAAATCACATGCGGCAGATTAACAATTTCTCAGTATTCAAGATTATAAAACAATCTTTTTCCCTGTAACTAAAAATTCACGGAGCCACAAGGGCATACGAGGAAACATACATTTGAATCAAACAATAAAAAAAGGTGCCCACAAACAAACATAATACATGTTGAATGTCAACGAGGCATATCAGAGGCTCTGGAATGGTTATGATATAGATTTATGTGCTCTGACATCACACAGATGGTGAGAATTAGTGAAGGAGGGGGTGCCAGCTTGAGGTCAAGAGAGAAGACCTGGCCTTCAGCCCGCCACTCGGGAAACCAAAGCACCAGACTTGTGAGGCTGCTGCAGTGCAACAACCCAAAGGCTGCCACAGCAGCTGTTATCGGCGCTACAGAAAAGAAAGTGCTCCCGTAAACTGCTCTAATCTCACCATCCTGAGAGATAAACACAACTGGGAGGAACCACCCAACACAATCATGAATAAATGCAAACCTTTAGAAAGCTACATTGATTTTGACAGAGAGCAACATTTTTTATTCCCCACATAAACACAAACAGAAAGAAAAAAAACGACCAAATGGGTTTATAAAAATGTAGTTTGATTTTTTTTAATCATGGCCCAGAAGTCAATATACATTTTAGACTATTTTCTAGGGGGTGATACTTACCGGTAAAATTAATCATGATACAAATTAATCACTTTGTTAGATATAAAGGTAATAATTGAAGAGCTTCAGCTTTTTAAGCAACTAATGAGACATCACATAGTCTACGAACTAACAATGAAGCACGGGGAATGGAAAATGACCCGAGGCAATAGTTACCCCGTTGGCAGAGTGAGAGGTGAAATACGTAATGGAAGCAGCATATCTAAGTACAAGATTATGTCATTGTAAAATGCACGTGGGATCAGAAGGTCTCACCTGATTGATGTGCTTCAGTTTGTCAATTATCTGGTTTATTACCGGGTCCGCTTCCTTCACTTTGACTTCAGGGTTGACACTCTGGGCTCTGATTCCATTGCCAACAACACGGAGTGTGTAGCTGTGAAAACAAAGGCATTATAGTATTTATTAATATGTCCATCATTCATGAATTACCAGTGGAAGCTAAACCCTCATAGTGCACTTGTTGTAACTATTAACCGTAATTTCCATATCTATTCCTAATTAGAAATCCTTTGTAGGAGGTCTTAATGACTAATATTGATTTTAGAACAGAAAACATTTTTAAAATCTTGAAAATATAGGAATCTTCTTCTCTGTCCAGTTGTGTGCATTTAACTCCTGAATAACAGCTACAAGAGTAAAAATCTAAAGAACAAGATGAATAAAGCTGCTCTCTTTCATGTATTACTTTAGTTTGGTCAAGGAATGTGCTATTGCTTCTTAAAATGTCAATAATTGTGATTCAGTAAAATATCTGCTATTTTTAAATGACCTTTGAGCTTCAGTAATAGTAAATTTCCCTTCTTTTAAATAAATTAAACAACATATTAGTGCCACCAGTAAGAAAAGCACTCAGATGTGTCTCAACAGCAAACTCACAACACTAACACCGATTTCAATTAAATCGATTATATCTTTTTCTCGTGGAAAAGTTGTACGAAAAAGGTTATTAATATTCTGACCATAGAAATGTGAAAACATAACTCATTTGTAGGCATACCCAGGGGTTAAACTGTGATATGTGAACTGCTGAAAACATGAGTCCATGCACTTGTGCGCTTGGACGTGTGTGTCTGCTGCAGTGCTTACACAGCTATATGGTTTATGAAATCCATACATCAAACTTGTATCATGCCTCTCAGAAATTAAACTAATAAATGTTACGGCAAGCACAGTACGCACTACACAACCGTTCATAGTTATAGTTTGGTAATATGATTCAGTTCAGCTCAAGGACTCCACACTCTTTAGCACCTGTACTGTCTGTCAGAGGTAATGCTTGTGACCATGGCAGCAGGTGACTGAACACAATTCACTCACATCTCAATTTTCGCCATATCATTTAATCAAACGAGAGGATCAAGGTGAAGTCACTCATTGCTGGAATATCAGAGTTCTGTGTTTGCAGTGGATCCAAGAAAGAACAGATGGAGAAAAAACGAGAAGGTGTTGGCCTTTCAACTTGAATATTTAAATGAGAAAAATTAAAAATAGAACCCAACCTACAAATTAAATGAAGTAGTTTGCAGCCGCTTGTATTGGCTGTGATTATCAACCTGTACAGAGTCTAACAGGAAAAATAAGAGTGAAGATATAAAAATTAAGGAAGCAAGGTCACCTAATTTATTCAAATGAAATTCAAATGTGTTTGGGTTGTCTGGGTCTGTGAGATGTAATTTTGATGTTAATTTCCTGCACATAAGAGCCTCCAAATGTAACTCATTTTAGAAAAATACAGCTGTCATGAGGTGTCCTCTTGTACTCTTTAATCAAAAGTTAGTCTTTATCGCCCCAGCTATTCTTAATATAGACTCTCTTTTCTTTTGAATGCCCTGTGTCCTCTCTGTCAGTGCAGCTTCATACGCCGCAATTATAGTTTAACTCAGCATTTATAGTAAGCCTGAACTGCTGATATATAGCTTGAGGTAGATATACTTTAGTAATTTAGAACCAAATGGCACAAGTTAAAAATTTGTATACAAAACTTTAAACTTTTTAGCTTGCATTGGGTTGAAACTTCCTCAACTCCGTTATTTGAAAATGAACACCAAAAGAATAACAGAAGAATTTATTGACATGCAAAAAGGGGTTTATTTTTCAGAAAACCATGTGTTATTCACTATCAATTAAAATGCCTCCTTTCCAGCCAGGACCAATAATGTTACGTTTTTAGTAAACACATTTAAAATTTTCCACTGAATTTAGTGTATTTCAACTTTTCTTTTTAATAAGATAAATTCAAGCCAGGGATAGAGCAATTTCTTTAAAATATAATGATTTAATTAATAATTCTATCTACAATGTACATTCCTGGGATTAAAGCTACTCTAAAGTACCCAGGGGCTGCAATACTGTGCTTTTGATAGTTGCTCAACAATAAGTTTTCTTTTTCTTTACATAACTCATTCTGTTTTATTTGTTTCTTTTAATGACCTGTCTTCCTGTTTGCACCCAGACCCACTGATTGAGTTAAACATAAGTGTGAAAGTCAAGGTCTGGTTTGCTCAATGCCGCAGGCGCCTGCGGTTTGAGCTTGATGTGTTGGGACTAAGCTCCACCTGAACCGTGAGTGCTGCAGCTATGATCCACCTGCCTCCAGCTTTGTTAATCCCTGGGCGCACCCGAAAGATTGCGGTTTTCTGTGCAAGAGCTAAAATAAATGTCACATGGTCTGTAACAGCAACAACTTTATAACCGTGCACCCAAAGTTTAAAAAATGGAAAATAACAAAATAAACTATTTTTAAATATTATATAATCAACATTAAAGAAAAAATGACGAGACCAATGTGCACTTGTTGACTGATAATCCCATATAATCCACATATTTACTGGGTTCTTGGTAACATACTGCGGAGATTACAGCAGAGACTGTGCCAAGTCCCACCACGTAAAAACGTGTACCACCACGCATCAGAATAATGCTTTGAAATGTCTCTTTATATTTGACTGAGCAAAAATGAGAATAAATGCTTTTACCAAAATTGGTTCATGTTGTCCAGTATCAGGTTTAGTAAAACTAAAAGGAAAAGAATATTACAAATACATGCACACATATTTACACGCATGCGTGCAGGCAACCTATCCTGCCTTCAGTAAAAGCACTTGGATCCATATCCAAAAACCTGTAATTTCCTGTAATATACTTTAGGCCAGCAATGCAACACAAAGAGTCTCAGCTGACTCCAACACCAGAACATGTGGATGTGCTCTTTACAAGGTGTTAAAAGATGAAAAATACTGATCACAGCCATCATATATTCTTCAAAGTGAGCCAAAAGCACACAGTGGCATCTAGTACCACCTACAAGAGGATATAAAGCAGCTGAGTGATTGCCTGGGTCTCTGTAGACCAGCAACAGGATCATATAATCCATACTACTCTCCCCAAAGGGATGCTTGGTTTGCATCTCATCTCCACTGTTCAGGCAGAGATTGAAAATTTCAATCATTATATCCTCGGGTCTTATCCCTATCTCTCTCTGCCATACTATACTGTAAGTGCAAAACATTAATGGCTGGAACAAAGAAATCCGAAGCCTTTTTGCCTTCTTCCTTGACATGAGGAAAGGGTAAAATTAGTCTGTCAATGTAATTTACTCTGATTGCAGCGCTCTAGCCGCATGATTTGTCTCTACAAATCACCAGAGCAAAGTGATGTAATATTAAGTCATGCCTAAAACACAGACATAAGCTCCTGCAGATGATTGAATGCTTGTCTTTTTGAATAATGAAGAAGGTATGAAAATTATGTTCATCTTTATAAAAAAGAAAATGGAAGAAAAATTACACTAAACATTGTACACTTAACCATGCATTCAAAAAGTGGTTCAGTTGTTTGATACATTATAAGTTTATTAATTTTAAGTTTAGCTTGAAGTTACACAAACTATAACAGATTCATTCTGTTTGCCAGATCTCTGTAAGCATTTTTGATGATGTTTTGTCCAAAAGTTGTGACATAATTTAAGATGCGGGTCACAGAACGGCCTTACAATCTGTGGTTTGAGTTGAACCTGGTCATTTATTCAACTTCTGAAAGTTCACAGTATCGATTCATGATAGCAAATTCAAATTACTGAGTTGGCTGTGCTTCACACCACTGGCAATCTGTGCAAGCTTTATCACGTCATGATTAAGAGCTGCACAATTTTGTTCATACCCAAAAGTCTCATCATTTGCCTCAGCATTGTGAGCTGCGCATGAAAAATGTGATAAATACGATGATTACTAATCTGCTACCATTTTAAGATGTTAAGAGGTAGTTACATGAAACAAATAACATGGAGCGTTTTATTTAAAATTTTAATGCTTAAATTTCTATCAGAAATAAATTCTAGTGTCACCAAGTTAATTTTAGCTCTTTTTTATCTCAACAGAATTCCAAGACTAAAAAGTTAAAGCTGTCAAAGGCGTATTTCTTCTTAGAGCCAATTCATCAAAATGTTGTGGAGAGGAGTTGGGCAGCTTGGGAGATGAAGGACGCAGAGCATACACACTGGACACGGATGGCTGAGTAAGAAACAAATCAGGCCTACGGTGAGTAGAATGGAAGGAAATACCTACTCTAAAGTTGTCAGCAAGGAAACAAAAGTCCTTCTGGCTTATTGCAGAGCACGGGAGGGAGAATAGCAGAGTCCAACAACTCCAGGGAGCCTGTTCAATTAAGCTAAAAAGGACAGAAAATACCTCAGGCAAGATGATGAAACTTGTGCAATTGAATTAATCAAATCAATAGGAGAACCTCACTTCAATAAAACATCTGTTTCATACAATAAACAAGAGTTAATATGCTGAAAAGACAGCAGAACTCAACGTGTGGGCGTAAGAGCCTAATTAAAAATGGGTCTATATCCCTACAGTTAGTTAAAAAAAACTGTCTATATTCCATGAAATGCACCGTACACCCAGACTGTTTATCTTATCAATGACATATGACATAATCTTGAAAAAACTTTCACAAACAAGTTCTAATAAAGTATTTTCATGAAGGATTAGCATGATAAGGCTTACAAGGTTTGCTGGTATGTGCGATGAAAGAGCTGTGACAAAGAGGATAATGTGACAGCAGTCAACTGTGCCTCTGGCAAAGATTGTGCTCCAAACATCACTGCCGCCATGTTTGTTCCAATTACTCAGAGGCCTTGAGCCTTAAAGTTGTATTGATCTGTGCCAGTGAGACACATGAAATTAGCCAGACAGAGCTGTTTGAGCAATGTGGCACCTATAATTAATGTGGTTCGGTAGTGGGCTAGTGGGCAAAGGGAATAGGTATCCATATCTACACACTGGTGTTGAGATTTTGGGACTAGTCTTTATAAGAACCATGTTAATTACAGATACAGTGGATTCAACGGCAAGAAAGCAGACATCACTG